CCCCAGCCCAAGGTTTTTTTGGTTTTTTTGTGTGTGTGCCGGGGATCAAACTCGGGGCCTTGTGCTTGCAAGACAGGCAGGCGGTGGAACCATCTTGCATTGTTTTTCTGGCTTGGGTATGAAGGTCCTGCTGACTTCATAGACTCAGTTAAGTGATCCCTTTGCTTCTGTCTCATGGGAGATGCTGTGGAGAGCTGATAGCATTTCTTCCTTGAATATTTGGTAGAATTTACAGTGAGGGCCGGGGATTTAGCTCAGTGGTTTTGCCGCCTGCTGCACAAGCGCAAGGACCTGAGTTCAATCCCTGGTACCAAAAAAGAAGAATTTACAGTGAAACGTCTGGATCTGCTGCTCTCCTTTTGAATGGATTGTTAACTATTGCCTCTTTAAAAGAGGTATTCCCTATTCAGGTATCTATCTTTCTTTGTGTAAGATTTTGACTTTTTTTTTCTTGGTACCGGGGATCAAACTCAGGACCTTGCACTTTCGAGGCAGGCGCTGAAACCACTGAGCTAAATCCCCGGCCCTCTTTGTGTAAGATTTTGTAGTTTGTATCTTTCAGAGAATTTGTCCATACTGTCTAAGTTATCACATTTATGAGTAGGGGTCTAATTATAGTGTTTCTTTATCATCCTTGTAAGGACCATGGGATCAGCAGTGATAACCTGTCCACTTTTTAATATTAGCAATTCGTGTTTTCTTTCTTTTTTTTCCTCATTTAGCATAGCTACAGGCTTATAAACTTTATAGAGCCTTCCAAAGAATCATTATGGTTTTTTATTGACTTTCTATTCTTTTGGGTTTTTATTTCATTGATTTCTGCTCTAATTTTTAAATTTCTTCTGTTTCCTTTAGGCTTAAATTTCTTTTCAACTGTCCAAAGGTAGAATATTCCCTGATTTCGGATCTTCTTTTCTGATATATTTAGCCTATCAATTTCCATCTAAGTATTGCTTTTGCTTCATCCTACAAATTTTGATGCTATATTTTTATTTGCATTTCACTCAAAATATTTTCAACTTCTTTTGAAATTTCTTCTTTGACCCATGTGTATTTAGAAACATGTTGTTTAATTTCCTAATAATTTCAGCTGCCTTTTTGATCATTGATTTTTAGTTTCATTCTATGTTCTAAAAAGATGCTTTGTATAATTTCTACTCTTTTACACTTGTTAAAGAATGTTTTGTGGCACAGAATGTGATCTATCCCAGTGATCATTACGTATGAATTTGAGAAGACTGTTGATTCTTCTGTTTTAGGATAGAGTATTCCATAATGTCAATTGGATCGAGTTGATCATAGCCTTGTTCAGGCTAATTATACCTTCACTGATTTTCTGCCTTCTTCTTTTTTTTTTTTTTGCCCGGTACCAGGGATCGAACTGCGGACCTTGGGCTTGCAAGGCAGGCACTGGAACCACTGAGCTAAATCCCTGGTCCCTCTGCCTTCTTGATCTACAGGAAAAGGGGTGTAGCTCTCCCGCTACAATACTGGATTAGTTTCTTCTTCCTTTCAGTTCTATCACTCCATGGGTGTGTGAGTGTGTGTGTGTGTGTGTGTGTGTGTGTGTGTGCGCGCGCGCTATTGCAAATTGAACCTAGGGGTCAAAGAATGCTAGGCAAGCACTCTACCACTGAGCCAAATCCCCAGCCCTTTTTATTTTATTTTCAGACAGGGTCTCACTAAGTTTCCCAGGCTGGCCTCAAACATGATCCCCTTGCTTAGCCCTCCTAGTTAGCTGCTGTTATAGGTGTGTCCCACTGTACAGTTTACCTAATATATTTTGACACTGTGTTAGTGCACATGCATTTAGGATTATATGTCTTCTTGAGAACTGACCTTTTTCTATCACTTCTCGGCCTTTTGGCTAAGATCAAGTGAGAATTGATCTTTTTCTTATATCAATCTCTCTCTTTTTTTCCCCTTTTTAAGTTTTTTTTTTCCAGCGCTGAAGATTGAACCCAAGATGCTCCACCACTGAGCTACATCCTTATCCCTTTTAAATATTTTATTTTGAGAAAGGGTCTTGCTAATCTTCCCAGGCAGAACTTGAACTTGGATCCTCCTGCCTCAGTGCTGGGATTGCAGGCATGTGCCACCACACCCAGTTTATTGTTATTTTTAACAAAATTACCTTTTAGATTAAAAATAACAAATAAAAGATTTTATTTTACTTTCATTCATTCTTTCCTCAATGTTCCTTCCTTATGAGGGCCCAAGTTTCTTACTTGTATCATTTTTCTCCCTAATGAACTTCTTTTTAACACTTCTTGTAAGGCACATCCACTGGCAATGAATTCCCTAACTTTTGTTTGTTTCAATAAGCTGCAGAATGACAATATTAATAATATCACTGCCGTCGCATCTCGGCCTTTTGGCTAAGATCAAGTGTAACAATATCACTGCCAAAATAATTCCTAAAAATAGTTTAAATTTTTATATACCCTTTTCTTTTTCTCTCATGTAAGATAGTTCTTAAAACGTATGCATTACCTGAACATCACAGGCAATATACTACGTATGATACATTCTCCCTTTTTTTTTTTTTTTTTGGTACTGGGGATCGAACTAAGGACCTTGGGATTGCAAGGCAGGCGGCAGAACCACTGAGCTAAATCCACAGCCCCCCACATTCTCCCTTTTGACCATCATTTAGTTTTAATTCTGCAAGTAGCTACACTGTACTGTATTAGACACCCCGATCCTGGATTGGTGTCCTTCAGTCCTTCGGGGTGTCTGGAGCTCATTAGTTAGCAGATTCCTCAGGAGGAGCTCATGGAAACGTTTCCTGAATTCTTTCATTATTGGAATCAGGTTGCCCACACCCTTTACACTTGAAGGGAAGTTCTGGTGCTTATAAATCTTTGGTTCTTTGATTTCTTTCTTTGAATATCTTAAATATATTTTTTCAATCTCTTCTGGCATAAAGCATTGTGAATCAAATTCAATGGCTAAGTACAATGTTGACCTTATGGGGAAATTTGATTCAGTTCTCATCCAGTTCAGTTTGCAACCAGAATTGTGGAAAGAATTGAGTTTGTGAAGCAAGATACCACTGTAAAAAGATTTTAAAAGGCTGAGGGTGTATTTCAGTGGTAGAGCACTTGCCTGGCATGTGGAAGGCCCTGGGTTCCAGCTCCAGCACTGCAAAAATAAATAAATACAATAAGAAATTGATCTATCCTTCCACTGCATTCAGAGTTTTGATGGAGTAAGAGGAACGTTGTGGAGTGGTATAAGCAAGACTTTCCCTCTAGGAGGATGGAGACATTTCTGAGCTCAGGAGCTTCACACACTTTCGGGTACTGGGTTGTCATGGCGGGGGTACCATCTCACTGGAGTAGCATACCAAGGCTTGCTTTCTTTCTTTTGGGAGGGGGAAGGTACTGGGGATTGAACCCAGGGCTTTCACACTGAGTTGCGCTCCTAGTCCTTTTTCATTTTTTACTTTGAGACAGGTAGGCTCTCATTAAATTGTCCAGGGTAGGCTGGAACTTGGGATCCTCCTGCCTCAGCCTCCCAGAGTGCTGGGTTTTGTTTTGTTTTGTTTTTTTGGTACCAGGGATCGAACTCGGGTCCTTGCACTTGTGCAGCAGACGGCGAAACCACTGAGCTAAGTCCCCGGCCCTAGAGTGCTGGGTTTATAGGCATGTGCCACCATGCCCAAGGGCAAGGCTTCTTGAAACTGTGAAGAACAATGTTAAAGCTAAAACACTGAGTCTATACTTATTATGAATTTTTTAAAATCATAACATATTTGGAAACCAAGAGCACCCTTTGTTGGCCTGTGGACCTGGACTTGAAAGTGCTCTGGTGCATGGCCTTGAACAAAGGGAAACGAGTGAGGCTCATAACAAGTACTCGAGTCCCTTGTGGACCCTAAATGTCTGTGTCATCCCCTCTCCTCTCAGGGAGAAGGAGCTCCTTTTTCCTTCTAGTGCCCTTTGTTTTAGCATAGGAAAAGCAAAAGTCATGCTTCCTGCTGTCCCTCTGTCAAATCTTTGACAGGAGTGACATTGCCCTCTCAGGGCCTCCTTACTCAGGTAGTGTGACAGTGTGGGAAGCAACATGGTACAGTAAAAAGCAGGAGTGCTTCTGGCTTCCACAACTTACTGCTGTGTGCTTGGGTGTGTTTCTTTTTTTTTTTTTTTTTTTTTGGTACCGGGAATCGAACTTGGGTTCTTGTGCTTGCGCAGCAGGCGCCGAAACCACTGAGCTAAATCCCCAGCCCTTTGGGTGTGTTTCTTAACCTCTTTGAGCCTCAGTTTCCTTGGCCAAAACACAAGAACAATGGTATCCAAGTCACAGGGCTGTTTTTGGAGGCAGAAAGGAGTGAAGCATGCAGAGCTTAGGGTACATGGTGCAAACACCTTGCATAACAGAGCTCAACAAATAACAGCTGCTATCACTATTACCTGGTCACTGTTTTGTTTGTTTGTTCGTTTCACAGGAAATCTGTGAGAATCCCCGATTTATCATTGGTGGAGCCAATAGGACTGACATTTGCCAAGGAGACCTAGGTAACAAACTCCCCTCCCAGACCTGCCTGCTGATCAGGGTGATGAAGAGGGGAAGTCCCTTTCCAGGAGGTAAAGAGACAGAACTCTGGTTTTGTTTTTGATGCATTTCTGGAAGATTTGTATAGGTTCCCTTTAGGTTTGTTGCCCTGTGCGCTGGCTGGCAGCCACTTTGTTTCCTGGCCCAGTTTTCATCAGCACTTTGCCTCGCATTGCAAGAGGTGCACCACACACTGTATGCTCCCTCAGCAGGACTTTGTTTTCCATTGTGATCCTGGGTATTGAACCCAGGGCCTTGCCCCTGAACTACACCCCCAACCCTTTAAAAATGCTTTAGATTTTGAGGCACAGTCTTGCTAAGTTCCCCAAGCTGGGCTCAAATTTGTGGTCCTCCTCCCTCAACCTCCCACAGTGCTGGGATTCCTGGCCTTCACCACCATGCCCAGCTTTCAACATGACTTTTGCTGTTGTTTTTGTTTTTAGAGGAACACCAATGTGAGTCTTCATTGTGACAGGGCCTGCACGGCAGCACAAGGGTCTGCTCTCCTAGAATGATGCTCCTCAGCGTGTCTTTTATTTGTACTCCTATAAGAGTTCTGTGGCTGTGTGCCAAGCATGGCCCTTCCACATGAAGAATCTATATGCACACAAAAAATGCAGTACCAAAAGAGCCCTTGTAACTGGGATTCTTGCATAACTTGCCACAGAACAATTTCATATAAAAAAAAAAGTCTTTCAACAAAGATGACGTGGGCTGGGGATTTAGCTCAGTGGTTCCGGCACCTGCCTTGCAAGCGAGTTCGATCCCCGGTACCAAACAGCCAGTGTTTTGTTTTTTGTTTTTTGGGGTTTTTTGGTACCAGAAATCAAACTCGGGACCTTCAACTTGCGAGGCAGGCTGCGGAACCACTGAGCTAAATCCCCAGCCCTAGCCAGTGTTTTGTTTGCCCGGTGGTGTGGCTGTCCTACCCGACTTTCCCCTCTCTCAGTCCCTTGTCCTGAAAGTATTGTCTGTGTGACTGCAGACACACTCTATGGTGTGGTCAGAAGGTCTATAGACACAATGAAAACACAAGGCATAGGGCACCCAAAGCCAATGAAAAGAATGCAGCTTCTCTGGCTTCAGGAGGGCAGACTGATGAGCAGGTGCTGTCCAGGTTCCTGCCCCAGGGATGGCTGATGCAGATCCCTGGGCACACTAGCCCTCCCTGACTGCCCCTCAAGTCAACTCAAGGTGCCCAGGGATAGACTGGCTGCTCCAGAGGGAGGAACGGCCAGGGAGGGGAGCAGTGGGAGGCACTCAGCCACCCTACTCTACTCTCAGGGTGGCAGGGAACCCGTCCTCCTTAGAAGGCAGCTCCAGGGCTGTGGTGTACAAATGTGCCCTGGGGGCTCTCACACGCTCCCTCTCCTCCATACAGTCCAGGGAAGAAGAAAGCATCCTCATCCCATCCTATTGCCAGCAGTTTCTCAGGGTTCCACATATACTGGTCTCAGAGTGGCTGCTTAAACAGCCTTTCTTAGCTACAAATCCAGTGAGCAGATGGATGGGCTTTGCTGTGGTCAGAAGGGAATGCAAACTTGCACTGCAAGGCACAGGGCAGGTGGATTTCCTGAAGGTGTTAGGAAGAATAGCCCAGTTATGATCACCTACTGCTCTTTGTTAAGGCCCAAAATTGTGTTTCTTTTGCAAAAGGAGGAACTGCCTCTGGCCCTTAGGAAAATGTCCAGGCTGAGGAGAAAGAAACCCAGTGGATCCTGTTGTCAAGGATTCCTGTAAAATCTCCTTATTGGGCTAACACCTCTGTGAGGTCTGATCTGGAAGCAGGACGGGGCACCCAGAGAATCCCCATTCTTCAGCACAGCAGCAGCTGGCTGACTTGAGGTCTCCTCTTCCAAGATGGGCAGACCCCCAGAACCTGTGTTGTGTGTCTGACTGCAGGGGACTGCTGGTTTCTCGCAGCCATCGCCTGTCTGACCTTGAATGAGCGGCTACTTTTCCGAGTTATCCCGCATGACCAAAGTTTCACTGAAAACTATGCAGGGATCTTCCACTTCCAGGTGAGATATGGGCCTGTGGCTAAGAGTGCCACCCATAGACCACCCACCACACCTCTTGGCCTTGACTTCCCAAGGCTCCAGGAAAGGCTCCACCCACCCACCCCAGCTGCAACAGTGGGCAGCGACCCCCTCAATGCTCCAAGGCTGGGAGGAAGCAGTTGTTTATTTCTGCCCCCCTCACACACACTTGGCCCTAGAAAGTCAGGAAGACATCCTGTTTGCCAGCCTGCGGGTCTGTTTTGCCCTCTAGCTGGCTGCTGCGTTACTGTCTGCAGCCCTTCATAAGTAACTCCCTATATACAACATAGGGCCCCTGGGGCTACACTATGGGGATCCCTGGTCCAGGAACTACAGCTCCTCTTCCTTCTTGCTATTTAAGGCAGTTCTATACTAGGCCTATCACTTACCTCTTGCAGGCCTTGGAAGAAAATTCTAGTTAATTTGAAGATCAGGCTTCTGGTTTGGCCTGGAACTAAATCTTCTGGCATTAGTTTCATTAGAAACTTTCTGGGTCTAAATCACGTTGGCATAGAGCCAAATCCTGGTGCTGGAGCAGAACAAAAGTGGGAGTCAAGTACTTTCTGGGATGCTGTTGTCATCAAGAAATACTAAAACCAGGCTAGGGATTTAGTACTGTGGCACTGTGCCTGCCTTGTAGGCGCAAGGTCCTGAGTTCTGTCCCGGGTACCAAAAAACAAACAAACAAACAAAGAAATACTGAAACCAATACTATACCCTCACGGACACCAAGGGCTCTCAGTCCTTACTGCACAGTAGAATCTTCCTGGACACATAAAAATACTAATACGCAGGCAGGCCCTGCTCCAGACCTCTGGGCAGGGCCATGAAAGCCTCAAGTCCTAAGATATTCAGGGAGTACCTACCACACCCAGTTCTGAGCTGGACTCTGGAAGAGACTAAGCAGTAGATAACTCACTTCCTGCCCTCAGGAAGCTCACAGTCCACATAGAGATAGAGTCACATGTCCCATGTCCCAGAAGAGGATGAGCCAGCACCAATATGCTGGACCTAGGAAATAGAACTGCTTCAGGATGGATGCTCTCCCAGCCAAAAGTGGGAGGAAAGGTGTATTTCCTAGTGGTGACCTGAGGATGTGACTCTACTTTCATGCATCTGTGCAGTTCTGGCGCTATGGAGACTGGGTGGATGTGGTCATTGATGACTGTCTGCCAACATACAACAACCAGCTGGTCTTCACCAAATCCAACCACCTCAATGAGTTCTGGAGCGCTCTGCTGGAGAAGGCTTATGCTAAGTAAGGCAGCACTGAGCGTGTGAGGCAGGAGGGAACTGGGGAGGGGGTTGCAGAATCCAACAGGATGTGTGTGTGTGAGGATGCTCTCATGTGTCGTGAGAATTCAGCTGTGACCCAAAGTTGGCAGAGAGCAGATCAGGCAGCAACGCCTCTAAGAACACAAAGTTTTGGGCTGGGGATTTAGCTCAGTGGTTCTGCTGCCTCCCTCACAAGCACAAGGTCCTGAGTTCAATCCCCGGTACCAAAACAAAGAACACAAAGTTTAAGAGGCAATATGGAGAAAAACAGAGAAGCTGAGCATGGTGATACATATCTATAATCCCAGCTACTCAGGAGGCTGGGACAGGAGGATTGCAAGTTCAAGGCCAGCCTAGGCATAATGGTGAGACCCCATCCCAGTAGAAGGAAGGGAGAAAGGAAGGAAGGGAGTCTTTAGCTTTAACTTCCCTTAGTGAGCTCTTTAACTCTGCCTTCCTGATGGTTTTGCAAGCCTTAGATCACAGCATTGCATTTCTGTAGCTCAGATCCCATGATCTTGCTTAGCTCAAACTCATGAGCTTTATTAAGCATAAAGCCATGTTGTCATCTCTTGACTGAGAAGCTCCATCCCAGCCAAAACGGCTCTCAGGAAGTGGGATAGCTGGGCTCCATTGCCTCTGTGGCCTTGGGTGGGTCACTTGGCCTCGAGCTCAGCTCTGCCATGGGGAGGAAGAGGAATCACAGTAAGCGTCTGTCTCTATTAGTTCACATGACTGGGAATTGATGAGAGGATGTCGCAGGGCCTGAGCTGAGCTCTGGAGCCGTAGTACCTGGGCGTCTTTCCTGGAGCGCTGTGACCCCACGTTCATCTTCATCCTTTCTCCAAGGCTCCACGGTTCCTATGAAGCCTTGAAAGGTGGGAACACCACTGAGGCCATGGAGGACTTCACCGGAGGGGTGACGGAGTACTTCGAGATCAAGGATGCTCCCCGAGACATGTACAGGATCATGAGGAAAGCCATCGAGAGAGGCTCCCTCATGGGCTGCTCCATCGATGTAAGTCGAGGGTGGGCCCACAGGATGGAGGAGCCATTCTCTCAGTTAATGGCAGCACAGTCTTCTGGGACAGGGTGAATATTTTGTTTTAAGAAGGAAGAACTGATTTTGACTTTGAAAAATGGGAGTTTTTCAAGAGAGTTGTTCCTGGGGATTTCCAGTAAAGTGATTGGGCAAGGACATTCCAGCCTTGGAATTTAGGTGGACATGGATCCCAAGGCCTATGTCAGAGGGGCCCTCTCTTGTCTGGGTTTCCTGGTCCAAGTGTGTCCCCAAAAGCCAGCCACATACTTAGCTACGGAGCTGAGCCCCCCATTTCCCTAAAAAAGGTGCCCAGTCATTGAGCTTTGGGCCCATGGCCTGCCTGGGACACAGGCTTTGTGTTGAACAGAAGTTCAGAATGCAGTCTGCACTCAGCAACACAGCCAGGCAGAGGGAGATGGGAACCAAGGGCGAGGTCTAGGCAGGGCGTGGACACTGGGCCACCTCAGTGTACAGAGATGCATCTCCCTCCTCCATGTACATCAGTCATCTTGGTGATTTCCAAGTGAGAGGAAGGAACCAAGCTCATTCCTTCCCTTTTCTCTCCCAACACTCCCCATGGACAAAAAGCCGGGGAAGGTTAGTTAGCCAAAATGCCATGGATGAACATTTTCTTCCTGTATCTCTTTTCTCCATCTTTTCTCCATTCATGTTCTATTAACTTCTCTTTTCCTTTTTCTTCCCCTTCCCTTCTTTCTCTCTCCTTCCCTTCTCCGCCTTCCTTTGCTCTCTCTCCATCTCCTGGGTTTTCCTCAACCTCCCTGTGGGGCCTCAGGATGGCACGAACATGACCTATGGAACCTCTCCTTCTGGCCTGAACATGGGGGAGTTGATTAAGCGGATGGTGAGGAACATGGATAACTTGCTGCTCAGGGACTCAGACCTCATCCCCCGAGGCTCAGATGACAGACCATCACGGGTGTGTACCTCAACTGTCGGGACCTCCCCTGAGGTGTCCGCTGCCCCTCAAGCTGCACACCGCTTAGAATTCCCTCCCCTGGTGCATGCTTCCAGTTGGAGAAAGCAAAGGCTCCCTTTGAAGATGGTCCAGTACTTTTAGAAGTCATGCATTGCAGTTCACCAAAGACTGAGCCATTCAGAAAAACACAGGAAAATTTAACCTATATTATCCCCCACTAAGATAATCACTCTTAACATTTGACAAGTATCCTTCCAGGACTTTCCGTGTCACACACTTAACATATTTTTTTATTTTAAAAACCTTGTTGTATTGTATGTACTTCTGTGCATTTTTTCAGTTAGTTTATATTCTTACTATGCTAATAAATATTCTCATTTTTAGTAGCTGCACAATATTCTAACATGCAGATATGTTGTAATTTACTTACCCGATACTCTATTGTTGGAAATGTAAAGGTTTTTTCCCTTTTTTTTCCCTATAATGAACATTGCAATAGACACATGTTTGTGGATGTCCGTGGTGATGGCCTAGGACAGATTCCTAGCAGTAGAATTCCTAGTTGAATGATACTCCGATGTGATGTCAAGAGTCATTTCGAGCAGCTCCCCAAGTGTGGAAGTGAGGCTGAGCATGTGCCCTGCTCATCCCTTTCTGCTCAGCACGGTCTGTGTCATAAGGACTGAGATCTAGAAGCACCTGAGAGGCCAAAAGCCCTGGCCCACCTATGCCTGTCACCCTGAAAAAGGCTCCAAGAATTCCAAAGTCTCATGTGGCTCCGGGAAGTCCTCCTTGGAGCTGCTGTGTTACTAGGCTGCTACCAAACCCCTGAACAGCCTGTTTAGCCCTCAGTGAGCTCTGGTGACCACTACCCTTCTGCCCAGGGTGCCTTGTGCCTGCAACATGGGCATTTCTGCTTGTGCAAGAGCCACCCCTTCTCTCTTAATCTCAGTCATGTCTGAGCAGGGTCCCCTGGGAATTCCCACCCTGGGTGCTGAAACTTTTGATTTCTTGAACATCATGTTCTCAGTGGTGTGCAAGAGGTGAGGGATGTGACCGACAGGCTCAGGTCTAGGAAGCCCTGCCATCTCCCTGCCTCCTGTGAAGGACCCCAAGGGAAGCTTGTCACTTGCCTCACACCCCAGGTTCTGCCTGTGCATCCAGACAGACCCTTCCCAGTGGCCAGCTGGTCTGAGCTGCATCTTCTTGATGCTCTTGAAGGGCCAGCGAGAATCTGCTGCTGATCATGAGGTACTCTTTCAGGGAGCAGAGCAGGGCTTGTCTTCACAGAACCCAGAAAATGAACCCGTAGGAACTTGGTCGCCATGCAGCAGAACCTTTGCTCCCCAGCTCCTGACCTGCTGTCTGGTTGTTGCTCCACAGACGATTGTTCCCGTTCAGTATGAGACAAGAATGGCCTGTGGGCTGGTCAAAGGTCATGCCTATTCTGTCACTGGACTGGAGGAGGTGAGCCTGGGGCCCTGGGGGTGCATAGGGACCACTTGGGTTGGCTTCCAAGAGTCAGGACTTAGTTGTCTGCACCCTTCATGGACCATGGAGCTTGCTGCAGATCTGGGGATTCTGCTTGAGGTCCAGGCACGGTGCTTGAGCGTGGGGGACCATGGGACCTGCTAGAGATGGCCTTTGCCACAGGAGGTGCTCACTTTATCTTTGCTTTTAGGGCAAAAAATAGCAATTTCCCCAACATTTCCAAGGAATATATATAAATGTCACTTTTGTTCTACAAATGGGGTCTTCTGTGTTCTCATGTGCTCTGTGGTTTCCGGTTCACACAGTTACAATGTGTTGTCCTTCTGGGACAATGGGCTTCCCTGGCGCGTGTCAGAGACAGGAATCTTGGCTGACTGTGGCACACAGTTGGGGAGGTTGTGCCCTGAACAAGGGGGTAGGCAGAAAAGATGTCAACCCATTGTCACATACTGAAGGGAAGGGAAGGGCCACTTTTACTTTTTTTTTTTTTTTTGGTACCAGGGATCGAACTCAGGACCTTGCACTTTCGAGACAGGCACGGAGCCACTGAGCTAAATCCCTGGGCTGGGGCACCTTTTCTAATTGGCTCATCTAGAGGGGCCTTTGTCTGTGGCTCCTCAGCCAATTGAGGCCTTTTTAAAAATTCACGCAGATACCAGATGCGCCAACAGCTCCTGGTGTATCGGCCTTCCCTCCTTCCTCCCCCAAAGCTCACAGTGACTGGCAAGTTCTCCAGGAAAATCACCTCTTAGAAGACAGCGGGTGACAGCCAGACCCCTTCTGACTCAGTCCTTAGTTGTGGCCCTTCACCGGCCATCCCAGCTCTGATTGTCTCCTGGGCCACCAGGCAGGACAGCTCCCCTAACCCAGCCGTCCAGCTCTGGTGAGACAAGAGCCCCCTGGGCAGATGGATCAGGGCCTGAAAGCTTTTCCTTCCGCCCCAGGCCCTGTTCAAAGGCCAGAGAGTGAAGCTGGTGCGGCTACGGAACCCCTGGGGCCAGGTGGAGTGGAGCGGCTCCTGGAGTGACAGGTACAGGCAGGGAGGAAGGGCAGACTGCTCCACAGCCACACTCAGAACCAGTGACCCGCAGGCGGAAGGGTGCAGCTGTGGGGAGCCAGGGCCCTCACAGTCATTGGCCGGAAAGGAAGGACCCCAGAGAGCTCAGGCCAAGACCCAGGCACTAGCAGTCTTGGGCATCTCTTTGCCTCACCTGTAAAGTGGGAACGACATCGATGTCAGCACTTACAGTGCAGGCTGTTATGAGTAGATGCCACCATTTTTGGAAAGTGCTAGCTGGTTCTGAGATTTCTTCTTCACTGTCCCCATACAAAGGCACACAGGCCCTTTGAAAGAAATGCACTGCTTGTCACTGAAAGTACTATACCAGAGGCTTCAGTGCATTAGAAGGCCTGGCAGGAAGCAATTGGAAGGTTTCCACTGAGGGTCACAGGTCAGATCAACATTTTGGTGGCTCACGTGACCTACAGTTGAGAGATGAGCTGTTTCTTCGATGCTATATTTCTCAGATAGCTTCTACCCCACCCCAATACAGCCTTCTCTTCTTGCTCCTTCCATGACTCCCCTGTTTCCCCATCAGCTGGAAGGACTGGAGCTTTGTGGACAAAGATGAAAAGGCCCGTCTGCAGCACCAGGTCACTGAGGATGGAGAGTTCTGGTGAGCCCCAGATCCAGAAGAACCCAGAAGGGTGTGGGATGTGGCAGGGAGGGAAGGTCTCCCCCATCAGTCCCTAGCCTGAGGCCATCAGAATCCAGTTTCAGGAGATCTGGGCTGTTCTCCTCCAGCCAGAGCTGAGTGTGTTAGGTCGCAGGAGGCCCAGACCAGCATGGGGCAGCTCTTGTTCTGGCCACTTGCTGCCTGGCCTAATACAGCTCCCTTCTGAGGCCTAGGACACTCTGATCTCCCAAAGCTGCCCTCAGCCTCGCTTAGACCCTCCCTGTGCAGCCTTCTGGTCTCAGATTAAAGGCAACTTCTTTCAGGACTCTTGAGATCCATCCATTTGTGCTGCTTGTCACCCTTAAGTAAAATCACTCACTTGACAGTTTTTCCCAAATGATTGCTCTTCCAACTTTTTGGAGAACTGAATTTCTGTTGAGCTGTCCCATCAAGGACAAGTTTGTGTCATTACTGGAAGCCTGGATGATAGTTCAGGGTAGACACATTAGAACTGATGGTATCTACTACATAGGAAGGGCAAGGTCTGCTGGGACCTTGGCCATCCTTGTCTGAGCTCATTTATGGGCATGTCAACCCTGGGGTCTGCTCTCCCCCAGCCCCTGCTCATCTGCTCCCCTGTGGTTCTCTCCTTCGCCCTCAGGATGTCGTATGACGACTTCATCTCCCACTTCACAAAGCTGGAGATCTGCAACCTGACTGCTGATGCCCTGGAGTCCGACAAGCTGCAGACGTGGACGGTGTCAGTGAACGAGGGCCGCTGGGTGAGGGGGTGCTCTGCCGGAGGCTGCCGAAACTTCCCAGGTGGGAGACGCTCTTAGGGGGGCAGGGCCTAAGCAGCCAGAGCCCCGGGTAGGATAACATTCTCAGTCATGCGCGGAGTCTCTGCGAAGCTCCAGACAGCCACTGTCTCATTAAATCCTCCCGTCTTACTGAGAAGAAAGCCGCCATGCTGGGAAGTATGCAACAGGGAACTGGTAAAAACGTCAAAGCGGGAAACTGTCAGAACAGTATCTTGCCGGTTGCTCCTGTTGAAGACAGTGCTGGAGGAGTCACTCAGGTCAGAGCAGCTGAGAGCAGACCTGGGAGACAGGAGGCTGGGCTGTGTGGGGAGAATGAAGAATGACCCCAAGACTCTCGGCGTAGGGGCCACACAGGTGGTACCAGTATTGCAAGATGAGAACTGTGGGAAATAAAACTGCTGTGGCATTTGTTTTCGATGAGGTTAGTTGCGGGGTGGAGGGGGGTGTAGGAAGAGAAATTTAGTTTGGGAGGTGGAAAGTTTGAGATACCCAGGTGGAGGTTTTTAATATAGGGTTAGATGCACATATTAGGAAAGTGTTTGGTTACATGATACGAACTCAGTAAGTTTTCGAGGAAGAAAGTGAAGACAGGATGGGAGAGGGAGGAGGTCAGCAGAGACTGAGCTGGGGTATGTGCCTCAGGTGCAGTCAGTATGCAGAGGTGAATTCAATCAAGTTCGGAGTTAGCAGGATTGCCTGGGGAGCCAGGGCAGGTGGCGGCGAGCAGAAGAGACTTAAGACCTGATCCCAAGGACCCACAGCATTTTGAGGGCAGATGAGGAAAGTAAAGCTGTTAGTAAAGGCTAGAATGAAAGTTCAGAGAAGGAAAGAGACCTACGCATCCAATCCACACAGCTCCATCTGCATAAGGTAGAGGCTCCACTCCCCGAATCATTGGGCAAATACCTGACTCATTTTTTCCATAAGCATTTATTGAGCACCTAGTATTAGTTGGGGCTCACCAGAAAGGCAAAACCAATAGGATGGGTGAACAGAGGGGATTCAGTAGGGGAATTGGCTCACATAATCCTGTGTGAGCCCCAAGACAAGCCATGGGCAAGCTGGGGATCCTGGGACACCAGCACACGTGGGAGTTTGGGGGTCTTGTAGTCCAAAGGCCAGAAATCCTGGAGTTCTGATGTCCAATGGAAGAAGAGTGTCCCAGCTCCAGGAGAGAGGGGGGACATGGGTCTCTCTATGTAGTCCAGGCTACACCACACCAAGAGGGGAAATCCTTTTCTTGCCTTTTGTTCTATGTGAACCCTGCTCAGTGGATCTTCCCCTTTGGTCCACCAATTCACAAGCCACTCTCCTGCAGACTCCCTCACAGACGCAGCAGTCCTCTGGGTATTAATCCATCAGACTGACCCCTACCATCCTATGGGGGACAGAGATGAATGAGTTCTCTCGCATTTCCTTCCTGCCCTTTCTGCACAAGGGAGATCTGAATTTTCATTTCCTTTCTGGGGGGGGCACAGACACTTTCTGGACCAACCCACAGTACCGCCTGAAGCTCCTGGAGGAGGATGATGACCCTGACGACTCTGAGGTCATCTGCAGCTTCCTGGTGGCACTGATGCAGAAGAACCGGCGGAAGGATCGGAAGCTGGGCGCCAACCTCTTCACCATTGGTTTTGCCATCTATGAGGTGTGTGGGCCCAGCCAGCTCTGGTGCAGGAGAGGAGGGCTTGGGAGCTTCCCCAGAGCTGCTGCCACCAGGCTCACTTACGTCTGTTAACAAGCAGAAAATTCCCCGGGTACAGTAGAGGGAGGCTGGGCTGGTAGGGCAGGCACAGCGAGGATGAGAGTCTGTATCATCCTGCAATTGCTGCTCTTGCCTTTTGCCAGCACTGTCTTTGTTCAAATCTGTGGCTGCTTCTTCTGTTTCTCTTCAAGGTTCCCAAAGAGGTACGGCAGTGGTAGCAACAGCGGTTATGTGCGGCATTCACTGGGGTCCTGAGTCTGTCTGTGGCTTGTGAGGAGCTTCCTGTGGGGTTTGTGGGCAAGACTGGGGCGCGATGTGCACTTTCATCCTCCCACCGACACTGCCTGTCACGCAAGCCCCTTCACACACACCCCCAAACTCGAGCTCTGAGGGGCTGCCCTCTCTGGGACGGAGGAATCACCTCCCTCAGAACCCGGCCTTGAGGCCCTTCCATCCTGAGGGCTGTGGAGGGACCAGCGCTGTCCTGGTGAACTGGACCTCCACTTCTGAATCTTGGCAGAAAGGCAGAGGCAGGGAGATAGGGAGCCCCAGGGACACTGAGCTAGTTGAGACCTTTGGCCTGGAAGTGGGTGGCTCACACTGTGAAGTGGGTGCCCGGAGTTTGAGGAGGGGCCCCTGGGAGAGGCTGTGAGCAGGACAGGACAATCCCGCCGGGCTTCAGGCCCACGGGCACCTCTGTCCCCAGATGCACGGGAACAAGCAGCACCTGCAGAAGGACTTCTTCCTGTACAACGCCTCCAGGGCCAGGAGCAAAACCTACATCAACATGCGAGAGGTGTCCCAGCGCTTCCGCCTGCCTCCCAGCGAGTACGTCATCGTGCCCTCCACCTACGAGCCCCACCAGGAAGGGGAGTTCATCCTCCGTGTCTTCTCTGAGAAGAGGAATCTCTCAGAGTGAGTCCAGCCTGGCTTCCCCACCGGTCCCCAGAAGCTTGCATGAGCCCTTCTAGAGACTGGAGGCAGGAAGAAGCTGGAGTGGTCTCCGTCAGCTTCCTGGGACCCGCTGCCAAGTCTGCAGCTCTTCCCCTCCACTGCACTTCTCCCTGTCATTGCTCCATTCATCCCCCAGATATTGACCGGGCATCTTCTGTGTCCCAGGCACTCTTCTAGGCACTAGGGATAGAGAAGTCAGACAGAAAGAGATCTCTGCCTCATGCAGCTTAACACTCAGAGCAGTGGTGCTGAATCTATGGCATGCATGTTGTTTTTCTTTTAAGACAGAAGATGTTAATGCAGGAGTTATTTTTTCTAAAGCTTGGTATGCAGGTTTAATTGCAGTGTTGGCACTTTGTGAGAAATAAGTGGGTTCTGGGTTGCACTTTGGATACTTGTCTCTGAAATGTTCACCATCGCTGATCTGGAGTGAGATAATAGGAAAAAAGTATAGTATGCTTGATTTGAAGAAGGGATGAAAAGTTAAAATAAAACAGGGAAGGCATATAGTTCCACACAGGTAGGTGTGATTAAAATTGTAGGTTAGTGTGGCAAGGGAAGCCAGCAAGTCCACACCCTAGCCTTGGGCATCATGGATGTCCCAATAGGCCCTGCCACTGCGATCCCTGTGTCCAGAAGCAGTGCCGGGTCCCTGGGTAGCTGTCAGGGCCTGGGCTTGATTGTTGGGGGTGCTGCCCACATGGAGCCGGTGCCCGGGTGAAGGCTTAGTCCCAGGGTTTTTCCAAAGGTCAGCCCCAATTTGGGCACCAGAAAACCACGCGACCTGAAGAATCCTGTGTGTCTCCTGCTTGCTCCTGGTGACACTGAGACACCCACATTTGTGTTTTTCACAGGGAAGTTGAAAATACAATCTCTGTGGATCGACCTGTGGTGAGTGCAAAGGTCCAGAGGGTCACTTTGCAAACCCTGCAGGGAACTGACTGGGGGTGGGGTGAGGAGCAGGTACGGGCAGAGGGAGGCAGGAGTCGGGGCATGTGGGATAGTCACTTCATGTCACTGCAGCTTCTGTTCAGTGTGGCCAGAAGCAATAGGTCTTAAGGTCTTCAGGCTGCTTAGTCAGTTCAGGGACGGGGACTATGGAGAGAGGAGAAGCAGTTTGAACAATTAGAAGAAGGGAACAAGGTCATAGGAAGGGATGAAGACAAGAACAGCAGCTAACATTGGAGTATGAGGTTGGATAACTGGATTTCTCATGCACAGAAAAGGTACCCGGTGTCAGAGCCTTCCATCAGCTGGAAGCCTGGAAGGGTTATGTGACCCTCTGACTCAGTTTTCTACTCCGCAGAGTGGGAATAATAGGCCTGGCAGTGCTTTGTGCAGTTTAACATATGCCCACCAGCTTGAGCCACTGGTAGTACGTACATGACTGTTCCATCAGGGGGCTTGTACCACCCAATGGGATAGTCATGCATGTGCCACCTATGGTTCAGAGCCACCCGGCAGCAAGACATGAATTACTGCCCCTCCGTGTACATGTGAAGTCACTAAAACTGTGTGAAATGTCTGGCACAGTGTGGACTCTCGGATAGAAGTTATTAACCATTTTACAACTTGCAAGTTAGTTCCTCCATGTGTTATCTTACTGGATCCTTTCAAGATTGTTTTCTGAGACGTTATCTCCCTGCCTTTTGAGCAAGGGCAGAGACTCAATACGGGTACATGACTTGCATTCATAGGGGTGGTAAGTCCAGGTGGGGCTGGAACTCATGTCCAGATCGAGTCCACTCCGTGCTGGGGCCAGTCTGGGGCTGAGCAGCCCAGGGTCAGCGGGGCAGAAGTGGTGCCTGGGGTCTCTGTACTGAGGAATCATGTGTCTCCTTGGCTTTGGGGTCTGGTTAGTAAACAGTGCATGTGACCTGAGCCAACAGGAGGACAAATGTCCCACTGAACTGACTTCCGGTGGTGGCATCCTGACCCCATGCCAGTGACAGATCTCTGGAGGCCTTCGGAGCAAGGGCAGATATTTGGTTTCAGTGTCACATGCACTGGGCTCTGTTCCTCCCTTGGATCAGTGTATAGGATTCATCAGGAGCTGCACACCTGAAATCTAATGAGAGCCAGCATGTCCCTAACTGGCAGTTGGGCAGGTGTAGGGGCATTGGTGTCCCTGTGCTGCTGTCTTCATCCACTGTTCTCCAGTGACTCTCGGCTTCAGTGCAGGAGGAACAGCAGGAGTGGCAACCACTGGTGGAATCTGGAGGGTGGAGGGTGGTGATGCCCCCAGCTCAGCTGACTGTTGCAACAGTGGCTTCTAATTTTACAGAAGGAGCCCCAAACTTCAGTTTCCATCTTAAGTCTCCTTTTTTAAAAATGTTTGCTAACAATTTTTCTTTTAATAGTCTATAAGTCAAACTCATTTTCAGGCCAGTCTGAATGAGTCTCATTTTTGATGTTTGTTTGTTTGGTTGGTTGGTTTTGGTTTTGTTTGTTTTGGTTTTTTGAGCCTGGGTCTCACTATGTAGTTCAGGCCGGCTTTGAACTATGTAGCCTAGGCTGGCCTCAAACTCTCAGTGATCCTCCTGAGTGTGGGATTATAGGCATGCACCACCACGCCTGGCCCCATTTTTGGTGTTTTAGTAACTATTTTTAAAAATTAGCCAGAGTCTCTTTCCTTGACCGAATGCAATAACAATGGGTTATTAAACCCATAGCAACAGCCAGTCTCTGGTCATAAGGGAGGGAGAAGGAAGAACTCTCCTTTTCCTTCACCCTCCATGCCCCTTTTCAGCTCCAAGTAACCCAGGTATCTGGACCCTGAAGGCTCACCCCAAGCTAAGGATCAGGACACAGGAAATCCTAAAGCCACTGGCCATTCTGGGAACTCAGTTTCACTTATTCTTCATTTTTTGTTTTCTTTTCTCATCCAGAAAAAGAAAAAACCCAAGGTGGGTGTAATAGGATGAGTGGGTAGACGGTGCATGTGTGTACCCATGTGTATGTGTGCATGCATGCACCAGACTTGCCTTCCTCCTCTCCTTTGCCAAGTCCCTGCTGGAGCTGGCTCTGTGTGATGATGACAGTTCACAAGGATGAGGATACCATGCTGAGCATGCTCCCAGGTGCTCTCCCTGGGTTAACTCGATCCTCCCTCCTCACAAGAACCCCAGGAGAGCTGGGGATTTAGCTCAGTGGTTCCACTGCCTGCCTCGGAAGCACAAGGTCCCGAGTTCAATCCCCGGTACCAATAAAAAAAAAAGAACCCAAGGAGATTGGCTCCATTATTGATCCTCATTTTCAGAAAGAAGAAAAGGGGGCCGGGGATTTAGCTCAGTGGTTCTGGCACCTGCCTTGCAGGTGCAAGGACCTAAGTTCGATCCCCGGTACCAAAAAAAAAAAAAAAAAGGAAAGAAGGAAAGGTACAAACTGACTCACCTGCCCAAGGGCAAGGCAGTCAGCACCAGAGCCAGGCTCTGGCTCCAGATTGTAGCCTGGCCCAGCGCCAGACATCAGACAGGGTTTGGTGCTTGTTTTTATGGAGATGCCCGAAGACTCGTCACAGGGCTTCTCCCAGGATGGGTGCTGCTCCAGACGAAAGCCAGCCCTCGCCAAGCACTGTGCAGGTGGTGACCTTTTTTTGAAGTTATACCAGCATCTACAGGGTAGGTGCTGTTATTATTCCCTCTTACAGGCAAGGGCACAGATTCAGAGGGGACCTTCCTAAGAAGTGAGTGACTTACCCAAATGCACACAATTAATGAGTGGGGGGACTGGAACTGCCCCCACTTCTCTTAGACCTGTGTTATCGTCCAGCCCTATACTTGGCCCAGATAAGTCCTCGGCAGGGATGCTCCATGCCTACGCCATGTCCACTGGTGCGTACCCCCGCTCAGACAGTGACCTCACAAGCTCCCGTTACTTGGGTGAAACCTTTGCTTAGAAGGCAGAGCAAGAGCTTTGGGGGCCTGCTGGGAGCTGTTTTCATAGGCCTTCCGTCCTGACCTGGCCTCAACAAGCAGCATGGAAAGACTGGGGCCCCCCTTACTCTGCTCTGGGACTCTGCTTGCCCCATGGTTCTCTGCATAGCAGCCTCCAAACTGCAGCCTTCCTCCTGCTATAGGGTGCACAGCCCCCTCAGCTGGCATAACATCTCCAACCCCTTTTCCTCTTCCTCTTGCATGAGCATATCTTGAAAATATCCCTTATATTTCTGTCGCACCTTGAATGTGTTTTCAGTACAGTTTTACATTCAGCACCTCATTTGATCCCCACCAGAGCCCTATCAGGAGGAAAAAGCAAGCTTTATCGTCCTCATTAATGGCTGAGCAACTGAGGCTAGTGAAGACATTTTCCCTCTGAGGCAGGGCTGGTCAGTGCTGTGCCCGCATATGGATCCTGCCACTCATCAGTCTTTTCTGCCTCACTCTGTGTCCCTAGATTCCTTGGCTGCCGGCATGGTGATGTGGGTACCGAGGGCAAAGAGCTCTGCTGGCCTCAAACCGAGCAGCTATGTTTGTAATGGCTTTATTTACGCTGGACTTGGGGGGAAACTTAATTTGGAATTATTTCCATCTGAAAAAAAAGGCTATGGACGATTTTAAAACCACAGCCCAAGATCGCTCTGCTTTTAGCAGTCTCGGCATTTCTGGATGTGCTACCTAGTGGCACTCTTGTAACTGAGCACAGCTAGGGTGGGTATGAAAAGAGAGAGCTAAGGCCTGGAGAGGCTTGGCACCTTTACCAATCCCAGATGGAGCCCGAAGTGAGGTTTTCCTCTCATTACACAGAGCTGTCAGGGGCAGGGCCTCTGTGTGCCGCTCAGCCTATAACCCTTGCTTCCCTCCTGCCCCTCCCCACCTCCCTCCTCTCTCCAGCCCATCATCTTCGTTTCAGACAGAGCAAACAGCAACAGAGAGCTGGGTGTGGACCAGGAGTCAGAGGAGGGCAAAGACAAAGCAAGCCCCGATAAACGAGAGAAATCTCCACAGGTTTCTGAGCACACAGCATGAGTGGGGTAGCACTGTGCACCAGGATTCGCCTGTGCTCCTGGGCATGTGGAGGCGGAGGGTTGCCAGGGAGTCTCTAATCCACAGGGTTTGGATCGGCCTCACTGACCCTTTGTCTTGTAAGTGCCCCACACTCGGGCTGCTGCTTGGTTGCATATCTGGAGGGTTGGTGGCCACCCCAATCTGGTCCTAGCTCTGAAAGGCCAGGTTGGGCCTCCTCAGTGGAGCTCGGCCAGCCAGGACTGCGAGAGACGGTGGCTGCAGAGCTGAGGGAACAGCTGGAGAGAGCTAAGGCTGCACAACTGGCTTCAGTCCTCGAGCTCTTGACTGGAGGCGGAAAAGAACAGTGGCAGCAAAGAGGGGCTGACATCAGAAATGGGGTCCCCCAGAACTCAGGGGAAGGTGTCCTATTGGAGTGGGAAGGCGTGGTCATACACAGCCTCGAGAATGTGAGGCCGGGGTCCTCTGACCTGGGGTGCCCCTCAGCGGAGTGGGAGGGGATCCTCAAGAACTTGGCCGTGATGACCCAGGTGCTAGAGGAATCAGAACGCTCAGCCCCCTTTGGCCTGCGGGACCAAAGCCAGGTTCAAGGGTGAAGGCTCCAGCTGAGGAGGACTGAGGGGTGACGTGTGCATGTCAGTGTGGCTCACGTGGGAGACACCAGGGCTGGAGAGGTGTGAAGAGCCACTGCGGCCTACCAGGCCAGATGCAGAGAGCATCAGGCAGCTCACCACTGGCTCCTGAGGCCACCTACAGCTGCTTCCAGCACCCTGGCATCTTCCCAGGTGCTCTCCTCCCAACTCATTTATCCCCGATTCCTGTGAACCCATTTTCCTTTGTACTTCCACAGCCACGGCCTGGCAACACTGACCAGGAAAGCGAGGAGGAGCACCGATTCCACGACATTTTCAAGCAGATAGCAGGTGACGTAAGTACCTCCAACCCTAGGGTCCCACAGCTTACTTCTGTCCTGCACAGCACAAAATCCCCACGTCCTGGGGCTCTGGACTGACATGTCTGCTGGGTGGTTGTGACTGCCTGCTGCAGGCCGGACAGCTGAGGCTGCAGTACCTTGGCCTCTGCCTTCCTCAGAAAAGCCTAGCTCCCCTTCCAGAACGGCACCGATGGGATGTCACGAACAAGGGCAGCTGGGCTTGCCCTGCAGAGCCTCTGCTCCCAGCTGCTCTCCTGTGAACACGAGTCTCTCTTCCTTCCAAGGACATGGAGATCTGTGCAGATGAACTCAAGAACGTCCTCAACGCGGTTGTGAACAAACGTGAGTGACTCGAATCAAGGGGTGGGGGGCAGGCAGGTGGCCCCCCGACAGCAGCCCTCACTCTTCTCCATCCCCCAGACAAGGATCTGAAGACACAAGGGTTCACGCTGGAGTCCTGCCGCAGCATGATTGCCCTCATGGATGTATCCTTCCTGCGTGGCCTCCCCACTCTCTAGCCTCTCCCTACTGGGCCCCGGGACACAGCCGGTGTGTGCATTCGGCCAGAAGGCTCAAATTTGTGTCCAAGGAAATAGATCCCGACTCAGAACACCAGATGCCAGTCTGAAGGGGCAGAAGGGAAGGACATGAATTGTACCTGGCCCATCTCCAGCTCTTACCTCTGGCCTGAGGTTCAGCCTGGAATTCTTCCAAGCCAGAGGAGTCCTTAGGGACAGATCCCATGAGTTTCTGAGCTAGTAGGAGTGGAGTGGAGGGTTAAGGAAGAGGACAGGACAGTGGGCAGGAAGGCCAAGCAGAGGCTTCCTATGGGCCCCCTCCCTGTCCAGGGGACCTTGCTATGTGCCTGTAGACCTGACCTCCCTCCTCAGACAGATGGCTCTGGGAGGCTGAACCTGCAAGAGTTCCATCATCTCTGGAAGAAGATCAAGGCATGGCAGGTGGGATGAGACAGTGCAGTGTGGAACTGAAGGTGGGGGCTGACTCAGGGATTCAGCGTGTGATCTGTCCTCTAATTCTCTACTGCCAGAAAATCTTCAAACACTATGACACAGACCAATCCGGCACCATCAACAGCCACGAGATGCGCAATGCAGTGAACGATGCAGGTAGTGGGAGGGACGGGGCAGGCTGCTAGGACCCTTCTAGAGAAAGGAGAGGATTGTTTCCCAGGGTGGCCAAGGGGCAGGGAAACAGAATCCAACTCCCCTTTTTCCTTTTCTGACCCCTCCACAGGCTTCCACCTCAACAGCCAGCTCTACAACATCATCACCATGCGGTACGCAGACAGACACATGAACATAGATTTCGACAGCTTCATCTGCTGCTTCGTCAGGCTGGAGGGCATGTTCCGTAAGTGGCCACCCCCTCCCCAGGGACCAGTGCAACAGTAGGGACATCCACCTACCTGCCCACAGAGGGTTCCTGATGCTGCTGCCTGCAGACAGTCCCTGGAGGAAAAGTGCCAGCGCCAGGGGCGGGAGAATCTGAAACTGGCCTCTGGCCTATGCATTCGTTTCGTTTGGTACCGGGGATCAAACTCCAGACCTTGCACTTGCGAGGCAGGCAGCGGAACCACTGAGCTAAATCCCCAGCCCTGGCCTGTGCGTTCTTTCCCACAGGAGCTTTTAATGCATTTGACAAGGATGGAGATGGTATCATCAAACTCAGCGTTCTAGAGGTAAAACATAATGGACACTTTCCCTGCACCATGCAATTCAATTCAAGGTGGAGGAATCGAGGCTGACATGCCCCACTGTATGCTTCTCCCTTCCAAACGCTGGGGGAGGCATGGGACAGGAAGGGCCAGAGAAGAAAGCCTGGCAGGGAGCATGGCTCACAGACAGGAACAGGTGAGGGCTCCACAGGGGCCTCAGCTCCCAAAACTATGTTGGAAAACAGGTACCTTCCTGGGAAAGATACAGGGGAAAGTCTGCAACAAACCACTGGTCCTTTAAAAATATTCCATCCCATAAGGTCCCTGCAGCTGCTTCTCATCTCCTCTGACCTTGGCACCTCCCTTTCAGTGGCTGCAGCTCACCATGTATGCCTGAACCTGGCTCACCCAAGATCACACAGGACCTCTCAGGAGACAGTCCCACCCAGGATGGCTGGAGCCACTGGGCCTTGAAGGACACAGTAGCTGAACCCCACAAGGCCTCCAGGAAGCTCCTTGGTCTTGTTTTTCCTCCACTTTGCATGACATGGTCTTCATCTATCATGGCCAGCCTGACCCTTGGGAGAACAACTGTGTCCCTTTGCCTCACGAAGGCCAATGTCTGCCTCAGGGAGGTGCGGCCTTGTTCGAGGCCTGCTGACTCTGGGCAGGCTGGGCTCGCCCTGGGCTGTTGGTAGAAGCATGTGCCAGGGCTGGGTACTTACCTGTGCAGGAGTGGCACTCATCCTCTGCCTCCCCACTGCAGGAGTCAGCACATTTCTACCTGGACCTGCCTATTTCAGGGTGGCCTGCTCTGGGCTACACTAAGTTGGTGGTTAGAGCTGGATACTTTGGATTTCTGACTCTCAAGTTTGGCTGCATTCTGAAAAAGTTGATCTAAATAAAGGCATGTGAATGGCTGGTTCCACTGTTTTCTTTTTTCTCACATTTAGACAACACACACAGCACAACCTCAGCCAACAGTCAACAGTCACCTATCACCTGCAGAAAGTCCTAAATCCAGAATAAAATACAAGTTCACAGACAAAAACAAGCCCAAGCCCCTCTTAAAACATGCCCATTGTTATTTTCTGAGCACAGCAATCACTCGGATTCTTTCCAAGATACAGGAGGAAGAAGGGGAATAGCTGCTGGTGCAGAGAATAAATGGGTGGCTGTAACTGGAGGGTGTGGGGGGCAGTGGAGTGGCGATGCCACTGTGACTCTGGGCCCCTCTGCCGACCAACCTGCTGTCAAGCTCGTCTGGACCTCGGTCTGCAGCCCATCTATAAGCATCTTGTGTTTCTTTCATATTCTTCATGCCAACATGGAAAAGAGCACCAAATGAAAATGCAGCCAAGATCACATAAGTAAACAGTCAATTAGTAAAAGTACTTTATTTTCCTCTTGTATTTGCTTTATATCTTGCTTTACAAAGTTATGAAGTTCACAACTTTATACCAAAATGTAAGAAGGCTAGGCTATTTGCTTATAAACATTTTTTTTAGTCAAGTGTCATCTAATTTCATTCTTCTTCTTAACCATATTCAATGTTTAAAAAAATCAGAAACCCAGGGTGTTGGAGCAGCTCTAGGGTATGCATTTCTCTTTGACGGAAGAAAGATCTTCAACAGTTTTTCCTCCTGACCCCCTCTGGCTCCAATTTATTTAGGCTACCGCCTCGAATTCAGAGCAAATTTGGGAAACTTCAGTGACCATGTGACCAGGCAGGGCTGCATATCTGAGGCTGGAGGTGAAGGCAGAGGTTACTGTCGATAAGCAGGGTTTTGGTTTACATGAGGTTTGCAATCCACTCACATGTGGAACTCCTCCACAGCAACTTCTTTCCTGTCTGTCTACTACTTTTAAACCTGGAGGGTCCTAAAGACTAAGTGCAGGGAAGAAACCGCAATCTTATAAATGTGACAGGCATGACTTTCATAACAATCCTAGGAGCTCTCTTTCAAGTGACAACAAAATGTATATGTCAGTGTATGGAAATTGAACTTATTAGAGCAAACCAGAGAATATGTGCTATTCAAGTTCCACATCACAATACACTTCAACCTTCTCTCCAATGAATTCCATTCCCTAAAATATACCAGCCATCCTAAGTGTACACCTACTCCCACCAAATCAGCCACCTACCTTATCACTACAGTTGTCTACTCTATAATCTACCTTAAAAAAACCTGATAAAACAAAACCTTTGTTAGGCAAATACTTAAAAAGCAATTGTCGTGGGCCGGGGATTTAGCTCAGTGGTTCCGCCGCCTGCCTCCCAAGCGCAAGGTCCTGAGTTCGATCCCCGGTACCAAAAAAAAAAAAGAAGCAATTGTTGTGTCTATAAATTATACGTAGGGCATGAGCTAAACATTCAACCGCTAACTCTTCTGAGGGAGAAAACTTTTCCCCACAAAAGCAAGAGGAGTAGTAAGAAATGACTCCCTCCCAAACTCAAGTAACAGCAGGTAGAGATAATTCTTTACTCTTCTTCTGTGCACTGTATTTGTCTTATAGCTGAGTAGAAGAAAGAGTACGCCAAAATATATTTTGAACCTAATTAAAAACTTTTTTGTAAAACTTGAACTGCTATTTTACCAGAACAAAAAGCCAATAAAACACTAGCACACACACACACACACACACAAGAGGATTTTAGGGTTTTCTTGGTTTTGAGATATTAAAACAAGCACAAACCAAAAAATTCTAAAAAATGGCCTCCATTGTGCCAGTTTTTGTCAGTCACTGAACAGTTTCTTTCCTTCATGAAGCTGCTACACAGCAGTCAGCACAGATACCCGAGCCATAGCTCTTCTGTGCAGGGAAGAGAGGGCATGACAGTAGTGACACCACGAGGGACTAAATGGCAGCCAGAGTAGCACCACTGAAGGGAGCAGCACAGCCATAAGCATCCAAGATACTTATGGTTTCTTTATTTCTCAACAGAGGGCTAGAACAGTTCATTTTGAACAACCGGTATTAAAAAGAATTCCACGTGTCCTTGGAAGGAATATATCACTGCCACTGCTTCAAAGATAACTCTGTGAGATAAAGATATCAAATATAGGTGTCCACAAGGATAGACACACAGAGAGGACCTCACACATGCACACAGAGGCAGATACATGCACACGATTCTACCGAGTGGAACCCAAATCACAGTTCAGTTCTTACTGACTGCATCAGCCTATAACACTCACAGACGTTCCCTCGACTGACACCTCACATTCCCCTTTTCTGCTGTACAAAGGCACCACGCTCTCCCTGGCTCAGGCTCCCTGAACACACTGCCCTGCGTGTGTGGAAATGTAGTGTCAGTGCATCCCAGAGAAAAATGCCAGGGTTAGCAATGAATCCAAAAGGACTTTCCTGGGAAATCACTATTCCCAACCCCACAGAACAGCGTGACTTCTCTGGTCACCCTTACAGAATACATGGATGAGAGGTGGGAAAAGACAGTTAATCTCAAACAGAAACTGCATGATTACACTTTATCTCCACGAACTCTGTTCTCTCTTTAGCAACCCACAAATCCAAATAGTGTGGTTAACAAAAGAGGTGTCCCACTCACAAGGACAGAATTAACAGTTTTGAGGCCAGCCAGCCATTATCTAGTGGTAGCTCCTAAATTAGTTCTGGCTCCAGTAAGAACCACTGGAGCCTTTTCTGGAAAAGAGAACAAACATCATCTTGTGTATACCTTCAGGGCTTGAAGGGCTCCTGCAGCCTGTCTAGGAACCCGAGGGGGAAGTCACTGCCCTAGAGCCTGAAGGAAGGCAAGCACAGGTGTGTGCACGGGCAGGGAAGAATAACCCAGATACCCTGCAACCTGAGAAAACAGCAGGTGTCACGCCATGCAGCTGAGAATGTGGCATGGGCTCTTCTTTACCTGAAGAAATCTTTATCTTTCTTTATCTCGAAGAAATCTGAGTTGTGAGACTCCAGAAACAAAAAGCTTAGAAAGTGACACTTGTATAGCTTCACTAATAAGTCCAGAGAATCCAAAACCACAGCAGTGCCCTCAGGTTTTGTCGACTTGGGTATTTACAATGGACAGACAGAGCCTTTCCCGCCACCATATCCCACTCTCCTCTTCCAGCTAGTGGGGAAGTGAAGGCAAAGACACTGGCTTCAGAAATGAGTCTCCAGGAAGCCTACTGGAGGCCCTAAAAACTGTATCCAAATGCTTTATTCTAATTCTCTCATCGTGGGGGCTGCAGATGGGTGGAGAGCACCCTGTGAGTCTGGAGGACACTTGATGGCTGCCCTGGTCTAGGCACAGCCAGACAGAGGGAGAGACGGGGTGGACAGTGGAGCCAACCAAAAGGCTGAGAACCACAAGAGGCTTTCCAGAGCCCAGACAGGGGCATAAAGGTGCACCTCAGTTCAAACCGCCTGACAAAAGGCAATGCTGCAGCACGAGCACCCAGGTCTAGCAGCAAAGCTGCAAGGCAGGAGATGGGCTGTGCACCACCTCACACTGAACAGAGATCCTCACCAGGAAATGCTGTCGGTTAGGAATCACCACTCTGGGACTCGTTTTCTGAATTCCTAAAATACATAGTGGGCTGAGCAGCCACTCTAGCTGCTTATCAAAAATCTGTTATGTCCTTTAGCATTTAAAGCCAGCTCTGTCCTCTGGCAAAGCAGGAAACAGTGAAACACACTGTACATAATTGTTAAAAAAGGAAACGATCTGCTTCCAATTTAAATACCCAGTTATAATAACTAGAGAAATTAAAACTGATCTTGCAAATTTAGCATTTGAACAAACTTGTACTTAAAAACCTGACTACAGGTTCAAGCCATCATTAAGAACATAAATTAAATAAAAAACAAATCAATTAAATACACAAATGACTAGTGCCAAACTGGGGAACCAATTAAGATCCAGATCTTTAGTGAACGTTTGGAGAATGCTGGGAACATAAATCTCCCTATGTCTGCTGTATAGTTCCTTAAAGGCTGCCTGAATTGGCTGCTTAAATACTACTGCAAGATCTTGAGGTGTGCCCCACCATCCCATAGAGCTGCCCAGATATGCTAGTGGTCAGCCTGGCCAGTAACCACTTTCTCCTGCCCTACTTCCCAGAGGGGAGGGAAGACAGTGGCCTGTGTGAGGGGCTGATATGAGAATAGTTCAACTAATGACTTCCCAACATGGGAGGCAAAAAACTTCATGAATGAATTTTGCTCTCATCTTCAGCATGTCGTTCAATGTGTCCTGCAGCATCCTAGGAAAAAGGGAAAAGGGCCATGAGACAAGCTGGTGGTAAGGAAGGAGAAAGCCAAGCCGCGAAAAGCCGGACAGGTCTATTCTACTCAGCATCTGTACATAAAGGCAGTCAGGGGCCAGCACTCCACTCATTTACATGGAACTATGCTCAAGATGAGTTCTTAGAGGGCCGGGGATTTAGCTCAGTGGTTTCGCCACCTGCTGCGCAAGTGCAAGGTCCCGAGTTCGATCCCCGGTACCAAAAAAAAAA